AAAAAAAAAAAAGAGAAAAACTATTCGTCCCATAAAAAAAAAAAATGGATATTTGAAAAAAAAAAAAAAACAGTATCTGGGGGCTGGATGGAGGTGTAGCAGTAAAAACCAGACAGCCTCTGAAGCCATCCCAAACAAGTTCCCAGTTTGTGTTCAGAGACCTCCCTGAATACACCAGGCAGGGTACATGCCCATGACCTGAGGCTGGCCTGGGGGTGGATCGCAATATGGGGTTGCTGTCTCTCTACCTCTCTCACTCATGGAACAAAAAAATTAATAAACTTTTTTTTTTTTTGGGGGGGGGCGGTTTTTGCTATAGGGTGCGTGCACTCACCAGAAAGAGAGAAACAGAGAGAGAGAAAGCGAGAAATCGACCCCCCAGGGGGGATAGCAATGCTACAATCCCTTCTCCTCCATTCTCCTCTCAGGTCTTCGGCATGCACAGCAACACACACACCTGGCATGAGTTTAAGCAACCGGGTCTGGGACTCGAACTGTGGTCGACTATGTGGGAGTCCAGACATAGCCATTATGCCAACTGCTGGTCCCAATAAACTTATTTTTAAAAAACCCACAAACAACAGTGAATCACGCACTAATACAAGAAAGAAGAAAGACATATTCTAGTCTGTCTGGAAATTGGACAAATTAAATTTGGCTGTGATTAATAAAATTAAGAATAAAACTATTCTAATGACCTTAAAAAGCTTGCTCAGAAAGCACAATATTTGCTTCCTGTGTTTATGTGTGTTGATAAAATTACAAGTGAAATCAGGATCCGCTGTGCTGGCACAACTGCTAAGATGCTGTGTTCTGCAGGCTGGGCCTCCATGGAAGGCCAGGGTTCGATTCCCATTCCATCCCCAAAGCAGGGCGTGCATGGTGGCATGCAACTAACTCAGGGAGGCTGAGGCGAGAAGTCTGCTGAGGCTCAAGGCTGGTCTGAGCAATAAGCAAGACCTTGTCCAGGCCACTGTGGTACAGCAGTTAACCCAAGTGCCCTGCAAGGCTGGAAGTCATACGGCCAACTGTAGGTTCAGAGCCCTGGGACAGCTTGAAAGCATTCAGGCTGCCACGTGTGCTGGCACCCAGGATCCTGAGGAACTGGAGGGTGGAAGAAAGGGAATTATGATATGACAAAATCCTATCAAGACTTTTCTCCCTTTCTCTTTTGTGCATGCATGTGATTATATATTAATTTAAAAAAAGAAAAAAAGGCTGGACAAGGTAGTACATCTGTAATTTCATCCAGCTAAAATTGTAAGACTCTGTCTTTTTTCTTTCCTAAGAGAGATTTTTTGCTATAAGGCAAGTGCTCGCCGGAGAGACAGAAAGACAGAAAGCAAGAAATCACCCCCCCCCCAGGAAAAATGACCACACCACAATCCTTTCTCCTCCAGTCTCCTCTTGGGATTTTGGACATGTATGTACATGTGCCTGGCATGAGTTTTAAGCCGCCAGGTCCAAGACTTGAACCGCAGTCAACTACATGGGAGTCCAGTGACATAACCATACACCATCTGCTGGTCCCAAGATCCTACGATATTTTTTAAAAAGTCAAATTAAACTATAATAAAGCACATTAGGTTAGCAGGTAGTGTGGTGGTGAAGCCACTGGTTCCCACATGGCCCACAGTGCAGCAAGAGAGGTGGTCCCTGCAGTTTTGAACTCATATCAGGTGCAAGTTCATACGAGCCCAAAATCCTGAGAATGGAGGAAAAGGGATTGAGGTGTGGCTGTCCTCTGTGGGGAGTGACTTCTCATTTTACCTCTCTGTCTCTCTCTGGTGAGTACATGCATCCTATGGCAAAGAAAAAAATTTTTTAATCATATAGCACGCATGGACTGTATTTAAAATAGTGAGATAATAGACATTTTTCTTTTTGACATTTTATAATGTATATCTTTTAGAATGTATCTTATACTGAAAATAAATTTTACAATTAAATTTGATTTTTAAATTATAAAAAAAGTTGGTTATAAAATTTTGTCTTAAACAAAAAGCAAATGTTCTACTCATCTTTTTTTTTTTAATTAGGTATAGAGACCAAGAGACTTCATTAAATAATAAACAGTTAATATATTTCTTTTTTTTTTTTTTTGGAGAGATTTTCACTGTAGGGCACGTGCGCTCGCCAGACAGACAGAGAGAGACATAGAGACAGAAAGCGAGAAATCACCCCCCAGGGGGGATGGTCACGCCGCAATCCCTTCTCCTCCATTCTCCTCTCGGGATCTTGGGCCCGCACGCACACGCGCCCGGCGTGAGTTTTAAGCCACCGGGTCCGGGACGTGAACCGCAGTCGACTAAGTGGGAGTCCAGCGACATAGCCATTACGCTAACTGCTGGTTCCCAATATATTTCATTTTTGAGCCAGCAGGTGACATGGTGGGTGAGGTGCTGGATTCCCACATGTCTGACCACAGTTCAAGTCCCAGACCCAGTGGTTTAAAAATGACAAAAGGGCTGGCAGGTAGTGTGGTGGTTAAGGGCACTGGACTCTCACATGGTTGATTGCATTTAAAGTCTTGGACCTAGCAGATTGCTTTCTCACACCCCCACCCCACTCTGTCCCTCTCTGATCAAATCAAATTAAAATAAATAAATAAATAAAGTAAAATCATTCTTTTTTAAAAAATGACAATATGTAAGTGTTTAGAAAATATATATATATGTGTACGTGTGTGTCTAATTTTCAATACAGAAAGAATTAAAACAAAGGAGAGCATGTAACCAGAAAAATGAAATAGGAATATAGAAGCAGCAGACAGGAAAGGAGCAGGTAAGACAAACACATTCTTCTGCTCTGAGGCAGCTGAAGAAGATACTGACAAAAGGCAGAGACCAAGGTGACAGGCAAGATCAGAGCAGGGGCCCCCAGTCCCGGGGCCATGGACCATTACAGGACTGTGACCTACTGGGAAGTGAGTGCACAGCAGGGGAGCAGCAGGCCAGCTGTGGGGCTTCATCTGTGTTTGCAGCCACTCCCCATCGTTCACACTACCATCAGCTCAGCAAACACTTGAGATTCTCAAGAGGAGCCCTCAGATGGGACCGTCTAATTCAGGAAAAGAAGCTTAGGGCTCCCACCGATTCTGTATTATGGTGAGTTGAATAATTATTTCATTATAAATTATAATGTAATAATAACAGAAATAAAGAGTAACAAAATGTACCATGCTTGAATCCTCCCGAAACCAGTCCCACAATCCCAGTCTGGAGAAATCGTCTCCCACCAAACTGATCCCTAATGCCAGATAGGTTGGGGACTGCAGGTTAGAGGCTGAAAGAGGAGCCTCAGGTAGAGCAGAGAGGAGGGACAGAAGGCACAGGTATTAAAAAACAAAAGCAATGTTTGAGAACCTGAAAGCGCCTTGGGAGTTCTGATGTTAAGACTTGAGAAATCAGGGCTTTCAGTGGGTACAGATGATGTTAATTAGCTTTAAATGCCACTAATTCGCCTAAGTTTTCCTTCATCCTCTGGCCTACTACACAAAATCACTTTTTTTCTGGCTTTCAAAATTTCTGCATAGAATTTGGTGAGTTTACATACAGAAAGAGCTCCTATTTTAGAAACTTACATGTATGGGTCAAATTTGTGTATGCACAGGTCCTTCCAACAACCAAAACACCAACTGCTTAGTTTCTTTGCTCTCTGAATGACTAGGAATTCCTCACTTGGGGTCAGCAGGTGGCATGATGGCTAAGGCGCTGGATCCCCTATGACTGACCACAGTTTGAGTCCCAGACCCGGCTACTTGAAAATCAAGCTGGGTGTGTATGTGTACCCAAAATCCCAAGAGGAAAATGGAAGAGAAGAAACTGTGGCATGGCCATGCCCCCAAGGGGGTGAGTTCTCATTTTCCTTCTCTCTGTAGAGGACACACAACCTATGGCAAAAACATTAATTTAAAAAAAAATAAAATCCCTCACTCCACAAATCTAAGGTTAAATTAGGAACCAGCACTTTATTATTCAGACCACTTTCAATGAATCAATCTAGGGGCTGGCAGGTGGCATGGTAGCTAAGGGCACTAGACTCTCACATGGCCAACATGGTTTGAGTCCTGGACTTGGCAACTTGCTTTCTCACTTTCCCTCTCTCTCTCTGTGTGTGCCTCTCTGGTCAAATTAGAAAATGAGTAAAATAATTATTTATAAATGAATCAATCTAGTTTTCTGATCTAGCCAAGACTCTGCAATGTTAAGGCACGGTACAAACTCCCCAGAAAATATGAGAAATTTCAGTGATGAGTCGGTCAGCACGTCACCTTTTCCACTGCCCTCAGCCCTCCTCTCTGAAGAACGGAGACCCAGCAGCCCATTTACAGAGAAATCACGATCCCAGTGGAAGCCTGCGGTCAGAACAACTCCACTTCATAGAGCACTTGCCTGGAACCTCAGAAACTAGTCTCCTCAACAAACTGAGCTGGTAGTTTTCCATTGTTCGAGATCTTGCAGATGTATGTATGTAACTTACCCATATATACAAGACACGTCAATCACAACATCAATCATGTCACAGCAAAGCTCATAAGACTGCATATCCACAGGGGAGCTGTCTGTTGCGATGTAGATTTTGCTGACAACATCGAAGAGAAAAGCTTTTTCAATACCTGAATTCTTGGAGAAACAAAATTGGGGTAGGGTTCAGATCTTTCTTTTGTCAGAAATCACAATTTGTAACTTATCAAAGATCTTGAATTAATACTGAATAGCAGCAAGGTGATTTTCAATTATACTATCCAAAACCAAAAAAAAAAAAATAGTACTTGTTTGAGAGACACTTCAACCATCCAAAAAATAAATGCAAATTATTTCTCTGCTCTAATTTTCTGACATAACTGCACAAATCAAACATTTTTCTTCTTCCTCTTATGAGTTATTTTTTTAACAAAGAATTATTTATTTTATTGTTTTAGTTTTCAATTTGCTATAGGACACATGCACTCACCAGAGACAGAGAGAAAAGAAGTGTGTGAGAGGGAGAGTGACAAAACAAGCCACCAGGTCTGGGACTCTAACTGCAGTCGGCCATGTGGGAGTCTAGCACCTTAACCACCACGCCACCTGCTTGCCCTACATGAGATATTGTCTAAGATATCACCAAAAATGAAACCAAAACAATTGTCCAAAATTAAAGCTGTTCCACAGTTTCAGAAATTTTTTCTTGTTATTATAATCAATCTCTGATCTGAATGACTGCCACCAGAAAGGTTTTATGTGACAATTAGAACATAAAAGAATCACAGTTTGACATTAACACCTAGCATGAACCAAAAGCCTGAAAGAATCAGAGTGGGGCTCACCACACACTGAATCCTTTCAAAGTAATGTATGGAAAATATAATAGCTAAATGCTAATTTTATTACAAGCTATCTTCTTTTAAGCTGAATCCTCAAAATAAGAGTGTAAAACAGGATACTAAGATTACAGTTAGCAAGGAAAGGAAAAGAGCGAGTTTTTCTTTTTCTTTTTTTTGTTCTGTTCTTTTTTTTTGGAGAGGTTTTTGCTATAGGGTGTGTACGCTCGCCAGAAAGACAAAGACAGATAGAAAGCGAGAAATCATCCCCCAGGGGGGATGGCCACACTGCAATCCCTTCTCCTCCATTCTCCTCTCGAGATCTTGGGCACGCACGCACACGCGCCTGGCCTGAGTTTAAGCCACCAGGGCTGGAACGCGAACCATGGTGGACTACGTGGGAGTCCAGCGACGTAGCCATTATGCTAACTGCTGGTCCCAAGAGCAAGTTTTTCAATTGACCTCAGTAACAGAATAAACGGAGTCACATCGCCCAAATCCAAATACAGGCTTTTCCAGTTATTATCTTCCTTCAGAAACAGACAGCAAAAAGCATGAGAAGCATGAGAAGTGCTGGCTCCATGGCCTGGTGGGTAAAGCAGCCGGATTTCATATAGCCAACCATGCAGTTCAAGTCCAGGACCCGGAGACTTGAAAACCACGTCAGGCAAGTGTGGATGCATGCCCAAAAGCCTGATGGGATGGGAAAACAGAAAAGGGATTGTGGTGTGACCAACCTCATGGGGGAGGGGCCAGGTGTGCTTCCTCCCAAACCTTCCCTCTCTGTGTCCCTCTCTAGGAAGTGCATGCACCCTCTGGCAAGTTTAAAAAAATAAAAAAGCACAAGAGTTTTCACCAGTGTATTTTAAAGATGAAAAGGGTGACTACAAAGAAAAGAATTTAGAAAATAATTCCAGCCTTATTTTCTGCTATTATTTATGTTACATGTTAAGTGTATCATTAGTCTTTAATCTTGATTTAGACTAATTCACATTATATTTTGGAGAATGTGATAACACAAATATATTCAACAATAATGGAATCAAAAGTCATAATAAATTAAATAGTTCACTTACTGATATAAAGATATTTAATAGATTTTCCAAAGTCGGCAGTTGTGGAATGAGTTTCTGCACCACCTTACTAAAAGCTTCAAATATTGAATGGTCATAGATACTAGTCAAATAAAAGCTGAAAAATATAACACGGTTTAATTATTTTGAAAAATACCTTAAGTTCAGTGACAACTATAACACATAAAATTTGAAGTTTCTTATATATTGAATTTTAGTACGTTCAAATAAACACACTCTTTAACTAACACCCCCTGCATTCAAGATGACAAGTGCAGGCCCCCAGCTGTGGCTGTCAGTCTCTTTACTGAACCTAGGTGGAGGGTAATGGAGGTGCAACTTAGGAAAGCATTCTTGGGTGTAGAAACTTGAACATCAAGTCTTTGATTTATTAGCCACATAAATAAGATAAAAATCAAGATTAACAACCAAGAGCAAACAGGAGATAGAATAGTTCATAAATAAGAAAATTCAGGTCTCCATTTACACGTCACTTCCTCAAAGACTTCTTTCCTCACTGCCCTACCTAAAATAACACTTCCGTATACCCAATGTTTTTCACCCCTCACCCCCATAATTTTTCTTCATAAACTTGGAATTTCTAGTTCTTTGAGCTGTGTCATTCATCAGAATGTAAGCTCCGTGAGGAAGGAGACCCCGTCCGCCTTGCTCACAGCTGCAAGCCTGCTGCCCTGAACAGAGCGCGTAAGTACTTGTTGAGTAAAGAAATGAATATTAACAGGAGTCTGGAGGCTAAAGGGGCATACAGTGGAGAAATAACACATAGATGTAACAAAATACGTATCTGACAAAGAGGAAAGCCTTTAACAAGGTAGACACCGTGAACAATTTGACCTGCTTTTTCACTCAGGGATTGCATTCATTACAGACACATGCATGACACATTCAGATGCACAGGGTACATCAGAGATGCTGCACACCACTGCACATGCAGCGTTTATGCAATGTAAATATATCTTCAAGGACCTGAGGAACCTAGCCCTAGACAGGGGGGCTCCACTTTCAATCTGAACACACTGGACCAGGTAAGGCTGAGAGTCCACAACAGTAGAGAGAAAGAACATTTCAGTGTTTCCTTTAGGCAAAAAGGCTGAGAGAGCAAGAGGATCCTGCAGAGACTGAGTTTGGAGGTGGATGGGGGCAAGGAGAAGCTTCAAGGAACAGGGCATGTTAGTAAACTGAGTTCCTGAAAACTGTAAGCAAATACCGCTTCATCCAAAAGTCTGCTGGTACCAAATAAAAGTTTGATGCAAAATTCTACTCAAGTTAAGAAAGGCTAAGATCCTACAGGATACTAGAGGGGAAATGGTTTATACCACTACAGTGGGATGACCTGGAAAGGGACACAGGCACAAGAAAACCAGAAGGATCCCCATGGGCGGTGGGGAACCCAGGGCAAGCAAGACTTAAAACCCAGGTGAAAACTAAGAGTGGACTCACAAAATTAAAACTGAGAAATTTTATGGGGAAGTGTTTTCACTTTCTTTAAACATAGATGAATTTTTAAACATTAATTACTTCTAAATTTCTTAAAATTTAACCCAGGCAAGGTAGGGGTCAATGAGACTTTTCTACATGGTTCCCAAGAAGAGTAACTGAATGATATTGGAGCCTGAAGCCCTGAGAACGTTAGGGATAGGAACGGGGGAAGTGGCTTGAGCCTGTAAGGACGTCACTGTAACAGACAAGGAATAGGTAAATCACTGCTGTCTCTCTCCTCTGCTCCCCCCTACATTGTATATAATCAAAAGAACACTTTCTTGGGCATTTAATACTCATTTCCACCTAATATCACCAAAATAATATAATATATAGAAATATATTTCTCATATACTTTCAGAATGCAAACACGCAAGTCATTAATTCTATCTATCAACTATAATCCCACCTAATTTCTTAATAATATTTAACTACAGGGGCCGGCAAGTGGCGTGGTGGTTAAAGGCAATGGACGCTTACATGGCCAACCATGGTTTGAGTGTCGGACCTAGCAACCTGCTTTCTCACTTTCTTTCTCCTTCTCTCTCTCTCTCGCTCTGTACCTCTCTGGTCAAAATTAAAATAAATAAAGTTAAATAAAATGAATTTTTTTTGTAGCTTTTTTGGGGGGAGAGGTTTTTGTTATAGGGCCTGTGTGCTCACCAGAAAGACAGAGAGAGAGAGACAGAAAGTGAGAAATCACCCACCAGGGGGGATGTCCACACCACAATCCCTTCTCCTCTGTCCTCCTCTTGGGATCTTGGGCATGCATGCACACACGCCCGGGATGCGTTTAAGCCACTGGGTCCAGGACTCCAACCACCGTTGACTATATGGGAGTCCAGCGACATGGCCATTACACCATCTGATGATCCCCCGAAAAAAAATTGTTTTTTAAAAAAGCATTTAAAAAAAATTTTAATAAACCAACTTTTTTTTTTTTTTTTTTAGAGGTTTTTGCTATAGGGAACGCGTGCTTGCTGGGGAGAGAGAAATCAAGAAATCACTTCCCAGAGGGAATGGCCATGCTGCAATTCCTTCTCCATTCTCCTCTAGGGATTTTGGACATACACACACACACCTGGTGTGAGTTTTAAGCCACCAGATCCAGGACTCACACCATGTTCAACTATGTGGGAGTCCAGCAATGTAACCATTACGCGATCTGCTGGTCCCTAAACCAGCAGTTTTTTTTCTATTTAACAGCAGCCCTAGGCTAATTTATAGGCTAAACATACCTAACCCAAACTTCAGTTTCATAAAAGTATAAGGTGTTTTTAAAAACTAAAATATGTTACATTCAGTCCAGACTTGAAAGGGTACCCCCTTTAAAAGTTTCTTTCTACTGAAAAATATACTGCCAAGACTCAAGCCAAAGACTTTTTTTTCCAATTTGCCAAGGGCACATACACACTTTAGAGGGGGCGGGGGGAAGCGAGAAAGCACCCTCCATGGAAGATGGTCACTCCTCAGGCCCTTCTCCATTTCTTCTCTCAGGATTCTGGGCATGCACACACACCACCAGCATGTTTTTGAAGCTGCTGCGTCTGGGAGTTAAACTGTGCAGTCAGACATCGCGATCCAGCCACCTCAACTGCCATGCCACTCACTGACCAGTCCTCAAGTGTAAGACTTCCTCAACAGAAATGGCGGGTCATCCTCACAGAGGCAAGCAGGGCAGGGGAAGTGGGAATGGACATTAAAACAGTAACAAAAGGGGGGAAATCTCAAAGCAGGTTTATGCCACGAGAAAACAGTCGGACTCCACTCTTGAGATGGAATTTGTGAAAGCGCCAGTGGAAACACTTCACGTGACTTTAATTTCCAAGAAAATGCAAAAAGAAAAGTAACTTCTCAGCAACAGCAGCGTGAAATTCAACAAGGAAGTGATAGAAAACATTAGATTTGGGAAAGTAACAGAAAGCTACAGTGTTGACAGCGATGGAAATACAATTGACACGTTTTTTCAGGGCTCATATCGAACACATATGCTGTTACCTAAGGTGGAGTTTCTCTAGCCCGGCATCTGCAAGGTCATCATTGGCCCTTTGGTGAATGTCCCTCTGTGTTTCTATTTTGTGATCATCAGACAGACCATCAACTTTGTGAATAAACACCTCAAAATTCATGTCCGGGTTAACTTTGTAGGCTTTAGAAACAGTGATGTGAAGTCTTGTTAGAGCCTCCATGTAGTCATCCTGGAAGAATAAAATACTTTCTAAAAAGAAATCTCACAAAAGTAATGAGTTAAGAAAGCCTCAAACCACCTCTTTCCCCAACCACATAAAACACATCACCCCTGATTAATCATAAATTGTCAAACATTTAATTACAGTAACTTATACCACAAGATATCATCTCAATTTATTAAGGTTAAAAAATTCTATTACAAAGCTAATGCTGATCATTTTTTTAAAGAATTACTTCATTTAATTTTTATTTATTATTATTATTTAATTTGACCAGAGAAAAAGACATGAAGAGGGAGGGAAAGTGAAAAAGTAAGCCTCCAGGTCTAGGACTCAAACCACTGTTGGCCATGTAGGAGTCTGGCACCCTAACCGCCATGCCATCTGCTGGCCCCAATATTGGTAAGGTCCAATATTGGTAATACACACAGAGAAAAAATAAAATGTACATTTTTACCCCAATATAATTTATACACACAACACACATATATATAAATATACAAATAATCATGATTTTAACATCCTGTGTAAATTGTTTCTCAAGCTACTGGGTCCAGAATTTAAACTGTGGAGTAAGCTATGTGAGATCCAGCACTTTAACCACCACACCATCGGCTGGCCCATCCCAACAGAATTTTTTTTTAAAGATTTATTTTGTTTTTAATTTGATCAGAGAGAGAAAGAGAAGACAAGCCGCCAGGTCCAGGACTCAAACAACTGTCAGCCATGTGGGAGTCTAACACCCTTAACTACCATACCACCTGCCGGCCTCAACCCAAAATATATTTTTTTTCCTTTGGGAGAAGTTTTTGCTATAGGGCGTGTGTGCTCGTCAGACAGAGAGAGAGAGAGAGACAAAGAGATAGAAAGCGAGAAATCACCCCCCAGGAGGGATGGCC